ACTGGCCCTGCCCTGCCCTCAAAGAAGCTCACTTAGGAAAACAGCAGGACATAAACCCAGGAGTTCAACAGCAGGAGCACAGTTTCCCACATCTGCAGGAGCTCCCCATTTGGGTGACCTCAGAGGTAGCATCGATGATCACCCTCGGGTGCTGGTTGCTTAGTGACAAGGTTCCATCCCAGCAGGACTCCCATGTACAGAGCCACTGGGTGCCAGGAACAGCCTTCAACATGCCATATTTCATTCTATCTCCCAGCTCTCTACCACAGGGCATACTTAGATTATGTCTATTTACAGATGGGGACACTGAGGCTGAGTGGCACATTATGTGGTGACATCCCCCTAGTCAGCAAGGGAGGAGCAGAGTTGGACCTTAGTCAACACCGTGTCCTGTGGGGTGGGCACAGTGTTGGGAATGTTAAGGTAGAGGAGCATGGAGTACCCCTTCAGTCCCTAAGCTCAGGACAGAGGTTAGAGACAACTCCTTTCCTTGGGGTTCCAAGGGAGCTCACTGAGCCTCTGACAGCTGGGCCTCCTGGACCTCTAGGAAGGACTGGCTGAGCCTCTGGAAAAGTCCCTTGAAATGTTGGGAAGGAACCGCCTGCTAGGAAAACAGAAGGAACAATGCACGGAGAGACCCCACAGCCGCCCTTTGGGGAGGGGACATCCTCTGGAGCCTGCCTGGAGCTGGGGCTGGGCCTGCCTGCTGCAGTCTGGCCAGCGACGGCCACTGCACTGCGCAGGCTGCAGTTAGGCGAGCGGCCGCGTGGGCGCGCTGTTGTGCAGCGAGTGAGCGCGCTGCGTGGGCGGCGGCGCCGGGACCGCTGGGGCGCAGAGCCGGTGCCAGGCGGGGGCGAGGGCGCAGCCCCTTCATCCTGCTTCGTGCTTTCCTGTGAGGCTCAGGGGAAAGGTCACGATTGTTATTATCGCGCCCGATCCATCAGCCCGAATAAGATGAGGTCCAGCAGCAAGCCACTGGGGGAACCAGGGAATGGAAAAGGGACCCTGCGGGGGTGGCTGAGACCCCTTCCCTGACCCGGGCGCTCACGACTTCTGGCTTGAGCTGGTGCATCCAAGTCCAGGAGGAGGGCTGTGGGAGGGGGGACCCAGGACCCTGGACCCTCTAGGCAGGGGCATGTGGCAAGGAGGTGTCCTGGGATACATGGGTGCCCTGCAGTGGAGGACAGAGCAGCCTCCTGGGGAGGAACGACCTGTCCCACTTGTTACAGTGTTGTTGATGGGGGAATTGGGGAGAGGCCTTGTGGCACAGGGCACTGGGAGGAAATGTCCTATCCTTCTATTAAGGAGGTTGCTGACTGCAGAGGTGCCCGGAAGTGGGGCTTTGGGCCTGGACAGTGACACAAGCAGTTTTCAGCCTGAAGAAAGTGTGTGTGTATGTGTGTGTGTGTGTGTGTGTGTG